TGCGGCAGTTTTTGAGCTTAAACCAGCCTAATGAATCTATTCCCTAAATTAAGCTGCGCTCAGAAGAGAGATGTGTATCTAGCAGTGATGTTATTAGTTATAAGGATTTCCAAAATGACTGTAAAACGGTTAAATTAACCAAATAGGCCCAAAATTAATCTTTATTTTACACAGGAGAATGTTGATGCACAGTACTTGTTTCATTTTGTGCCATTTATCAGGCCTTTTCAGTGTTGACGGAGGCAAAGAAAGAAGACGAGAAAAAACGAGCAACCTTGCTCAATTTCTACGAACACATGGATGTTTGCTTGCAGAGTATGGATGAAAAAGTTCATGCCCTTTTGGAACAGAACATCGGAAACCTCAAGGAAAAAATAGCTTCCCACAAACAAAATCTGCTGGGAAAAGAGTACATTGTTCTTGTTGCAGGTTTGTTATAAATAAACAATTTGACTGCCATTGCTTTGAAATTTTAGTTTCGCCAACTTCCTCACCCAAGAGACTTAAATTCAAGACTGACAAAGAAAAGAAGGCCTCATTCAGTTATTATACTAATCCAGCCTCAGCTAATTAGTAAGCTAATGATCGAGCCATGAATTAAATTAAAACTGTATTTCTATGAGGGAATTGTACTCAGTATATTTCATCCTCCCTTAATTGTGCTTTCGTGTAATGTACTCCCTTAAGTAATATTAACTGTTTACACCCTAAGATCAGTTTGCATATTCCCCATACTGTTCTTTATACATTTCCAAGGGTATTGACAAGGAGACTTTGGTTAACAATCATGAGCTCCTTTACTTGATGATCATTTCCTTAATTCCCATGACCTGAATATGTGAATAAGAGGTGACCTTGTAAGGAGAAGTTAGATGTTTGTCACTCTTAAGGGTTATAGGGTTAACAGTAAGACCTTAATGACTAATATCTACTAATCAAATTTGACAGTCACACGAATACTTTTTTAATTCTATGGAAAACTCTGAATCTTACAACATTTAAATTATATGACTTTTATTGATGGAATAAAGATCACTCATTCGTTTATTCACCATTTTTCAATTATCCAATTTTTTTACTTGGTTCTTGTATGTCATAAGGGACTCCACTGACCTGTCCTTTTGCCCCACAACTTTTCCCAAACATCTCACTCTTAGTACACAGGCCCGCCATTCAAACCAGGTTGTTGAACTTGGCCAGTCTGGTTAATAAATAAGTGCAATACACTTATGACAAAACGAGTGTACAGAGTGGGAATCTGCTGGTCTAGACCAACAAAGACTATTTATTGATAGTTCCTTTTACGGAAGTCTGTCTTTTGAGCGTAGCACATAACATAGCCAACCTCGAACTGATATCTGGGTGAAAGCTATATAATTGTGAACAGCAAGAGGAATAGTTTTTTTATGAAAGCGAATTAGAGGAAGAAGGGAAATGGTATTTTGTTGAGGATTTCTGGAGGAAACGACCGGGGAGGCAGATTCTCTTGTTCGACGTAACTGAAGTAGAATCGACCCATTCTTACCAATGTTTTTTTCCAACTTCCCTCCCTATTTTCACCTGTTTATACTTACCAGGCGAAACAAGTTCAGGAA